TCGTATCCCATAAATTCCGATAAGTTGTGCTTGAATTTTCATTGAATTGTAGATATTGTTGAATTTCTTGTTTAATTTCATCTGTGACCCATTGGTTGCTGAGTAGGGTGTCATTTAATTTCCATGTATTGAAAGTTCTTTTCTGGTTTGTCATTTATTTCCAGTTTCATTGCACTATTGCCTGGTCTATTTCTACAAAGGGTCTAATATTTGTTATTTCTTTGGCTGTAGAAAAATGAAGGAGAACCAGTTTCATGAAAATGGAATGTCAGTGTTTAAATTTGTGTCAAATGATCAGTGGTATTGAATATGTTTTCATGTATTTATTTGCCATTTGTACTTGAGTGTCTAGTCATTCCAGATGGACTTTTTTAAGTGGATCTTTAACTTTAGGGGACCTGTGGGCCAGTATATGTGTTAGTGTTTGTATTTTTCTTACATTAGGTAGCTTTGTCAAGGGTATACTCCCCTGGGAGATGGCTAGTCCTCTGCGGTGTCTTCCAGGGGTAGGTGGCTGTTGGTCTCAGTGTCTGTCCTAGACCCGACCTTCCCGCCTTATTAGGGATGACATACTGCTATGTGTTTGCCTCAGCACCCAGTTCTTTGGTCCTGGGCTATCGTGAGGATTGTGCCCACAGATTATCACAGTGTAATCATACACAGGTGAAAAACTGATTACAACAAGTATATATCTATATCTGTATTTATATAATTAGCAATAACAATATCACAAAGCACAGCCTAGAAACTGATTATCTGTGGTGCCTGCTAATTTGGTGTCTCTGACCACAGAAAAAAGATCTATAGTCATATAACAGCCTCCAACATAGACTGGAAACTTGTATGCAGTGGTTTTCCCCTACGGTGATTTTATCCTGTGGGGAAGGGAAAGTTTTAAGAAGAATGGGGGCCCCATCAAGAGTGATAGCTGAAAAGAAATAGAGTAGAAACAAGGCTGATGGAGTAAGGATGATCCCCACAACTTTGGGAATCTGGAGAAGAAGACAGGAGTGAAAGAATGAAGGGTAAAGCAGAAGAATTTCAAGGCAAGACAGAAAGGAGGGGAGACAGTGTTCATTCACTGGAACCCCTCAGGGAATACCAAAAGAGCAACGAAAGAAGAGAAGTGGGACACAGAAAACAGACCAAACAAGAAAAGTCAAATCCTGAACAGCCCACCCTCCATTTAAATAATTACTTTAAAAACAAGAAACAAATCCCTCTCGTGGCCCAGGTTTCTCCCTAGCCAAGAGCTGCGGTCTGTACTGAATAGCTCCACCAGGTCTGCCACTGGGTTGCTCCTTCCCACTGACTCCTCTTACACAAGCTGGGGTCAGGCAAGGGTCTGCCCTTGTCCACAGCTAATGGAGGCTATTGGCCCGTGAGCCGCAGGGTAGGCGGCAGTGCCCTCGTGTTTGCACTGCAGGGCAAGGGCTACTTCTAGTCCTTTGTAGTTCGGGCTGAGACTGGCTTTGGGTGCTTGCCCAGTTGGAATCTGGATCCCAAATCCTGCTTCCCTGTGGAACACCCCCCAGTCTGGGGTCCAACTGCAGGCTGTCTGCAGTCACAAGATGGTCCCTTCCTCATTCCACTCCCAGCCATTGGCACTGAAGTGACTCTGGGGCTGTTTGGCAGCGGGAACGCAAGCCCTGGAGCACTTAGAAATAAAACAGAGCCCCACCCTTCAGCTGCTACTCCACATGACTTGGGGGGCCTCTGGCCACCCACCCACCAACCATGCTTGCACAGAAAGCAATTTGTCATCCTGATGGCAGACACTGACAGAAGATCTGAGAAGCTCTGCACAGGATTCCAAGATAAATCCTGGAGAGACTCAGCTGGCTTTGATAGACAGCAGGAGATTAATTTAGATTAATATGACTGTCACTTTATCTTAGTCTTAAACATCCAGCAGAAA